CAGTGGGAGCTGGAGCTGCTGGTGGTGCTGGAGGCACTCTGGGTGGCGGAGCCCGCGAGCAGGTGCACCACAGGCTTCTGAGCAAACAGCACCCCTGGGTGGGAGGAGAGGCAAGTGAGTGCAGGAGGGGTGGCCCTGGCTCTCAGGGTCCTAGGTGCTGCCCCACCTTTGGGGGCTTTCTGGCTGGCAAGGGGACAGATGGGCAGATGGAAGGGTGTGGCAGGAACCCCAACAGGGCTCTAGAGGGCAGGGAAGGCTGGTGGGAAGGGATCCAGGGCAGAGCGTGTGCTAGGCGGTTAGAGGAGGGAAGAAGGCCACTGAGGAGGGGCACCCAGCCAGAGGGATGGAGTCAAGAGACCCTGCAGACAGAGGCCAACGGGGCTGGAGAGGGGAGATGCATAGGAAGCTTGGAGGCCATCTGTAGGCGTCATGGAGCCCCCAAAAGTTCTGAGCAGGGCAGGGACACCATCAGAGCTCCCCGGAAGGCTCTCCAGCGGGGGCTGCAGGGCAGTGTGGGGGCACGCACAGGAGACTGGGCAGCGGGGTAGCTGAGTCTAGGGGAGCTGCCTCCAAGTTCCAGGCCTGGGCAGCTGCTTCCCACTGGGAAAGGGGGTGGACTGGGAAAGGGGGTGGACTGGGAAAGGCTAAAGACAGGATGACAGGTGGCTGACTGGCTCCCTCCTCTTCAGGAGCTCGGGGAGCCCTAAACTCCGGCCCCTTTCTCCTGGAGAGGAGAGGACAGCGAGATGCAAGCCCTGGACGTCTTCTCTGCCCTCTCAGGAGCCAGTCCTGCCCTCGCCCTGTCGGAGCACAGCACCGCCAGGAGGCGCCAAGCACAGGGCCTACATCCCAGCCCCCCGCCAGGCAGAGCCCTACGGACGTGGCACAACGATGGCACAGTCGGCCTGGCCTTGCTGCCCCTCTCCTGGGAGGCCTGTGCTGTGGCCTAGCAGGTGCACAGCATGGGGCCTGCAGGGAGGGGGTGCAGCCTCAGACCAGAGAACGCAGAGCCAGGCACAGGCAGGGCTCAAGGAAGCAACACTCACTGGGTGGGCAAGTGCAGCTGCAGGGCTGGGAGCCCCTCTCCCAGACACCTCACCAGGGCCTTGGGGGTCCCACGCCTCCCTCCATGTCTAACAGAGCTGCCTGGGTTTGTTCTCAACTGGCCACCAAGCTGATGAGAGGGGAGTGGGAATACTAAATTGAACCCGCCAAGACGGGGAAAGGTACTAAACCCCGCCGACCAAGGGACGGCCACACAGGGGGCAAAGCCAGAAAAAAGGCAGCTACTGCCCATCTGATTCTGCTATGCCGTGCCATGCCCCAGTCCGGGGTCCAGGTTGAGGAAGGGAGTGTGTTTGCGAGGGCAGAGAAGTGCAGCTCTCAGGCCTGAGAGGAGCCCTGAGCATCTGAAGACCTGTGGCTGGAGGCGCTGACCGAACGGACCACACAGGGCAGACGCGCACGCTGCCATGAACACTCCCCTCATGTTTAAGGGCTCTTTCTCTTTTGCAGTTTTGCCACGGGGCGCGTGCATTCACCACAGAAAGAAAGAGAGAGAAAAATCACCCTCACAGTGTTAGCCATGCCACAATCCCTCCTCCACTCCTCTCCTCTCGGGGTTTTGGGCACACACACACATGCACCGTGTTCAAGCTGCCAGGTTCAGGACTTGAACCTGGAGTTGGTCATGTGGGATCCAGCACCTTAGCCTCCACGCCACCTGCTGGTCCCGAAGGGCTTTTTCAATGAATGAACCAACCGTTGATCCAAAAGAGTGAGGGGAAGGGATTCTGCCCAAGTGGAGAGGGACCTGCCACCCTGTCCACGACCCTGCACTCTGGGAGGGCTGACACCTGGGTGGCAGGGGGCCCAGCGGGGCGCTGTGCCCACAGTGAGCCTCACGCCTTACCTGCGTAGGTTGTGCCGTCGATGTCCACGGACATGCTGATGCTCCCAATGCTGCTCGTGGTCAGGTTCAGCGCGGCGGCCGAGGCCTCTGCTCTGTCTTCTGCTGGGGACAGGGAGGAGGCGGGCCAGTCAGACTTCCTCCTCACTCCTGCTGCCCTCTCCGATGCCACCTGGCTCCCTGGGCCAAGGCCTTGCGCCCTGACAGCACTCACACAGGCCCAGCTGTGACAGCATGCAGGCAGGCCCATGGCTGCAGAAGCTGGACCTGCACTGGGAGCCCGGGCCGACCTGAACATGCTAGACCACATCTGTGGTCATGCTAAACGGAGGCCATGATAGAGAGAGTGGGGTGAGTGAGACCCCATGGAGTCTAGCCACCTCTCCCTCTCACATAAAGGGGAACGGGGAGCACCTGTGTGAAGCCCTGCAGGGGTACCGTTGGCCGGACCTCATTTCCCAGCTCCCTCTGCTCTCGGAAGACACAGGATCGTGATGGCAGGGAAGCAACTGTGGCTCTGCAGCCGGGCACGGAGCTCCGTGACTGCAGAGCCCAGCCACGCCCCGCACACATCTGGCCAGGAACGCAGAGGCCCGTTCCACCTGCCCTCAGCTGTGAGTCTCCCGGAGAGAGGTCTACATGCCCAGTACCTCACCGTCTGTGCCCACCTGGGCAGCTGGCATGCAGGGACTGTCACGTCACAGCAGAGGACGCTCCTAGGCAAGCTGCCTTTTCTATTTGCACCTGGCTGAATTTGCATCTGCCCGGACCTCACGTGGTTCCTTTACCCAAGCCCTCTGATAGACACTCGCTGTTTGCTTTAGGCAGCGTCAGGGGCAGGAACGGCATGGCAATGTGGGCGGGGAGAGGAATGAGCGTGCAGTTTGGGGAAAAGAAGGTGGGGCACCAGAAAAATGCACATGGGGAGGGAGAGGATGTCAGTTATGTCACCAAACTCGTATTTCTGTCCTTGGTCTCCTTCCCAGGGGTCACCGGCAGCCCCATCCAGGCAGCTCTGGCCCTTGCCCAGCTCAGAACTGAGCATGGCGCGAGGTGCGGAGGTGCAAGGGAGGCCCTTTAATTCAGCCAGAACAGGCTAATAGGAGGGAAACGGCTAACAGGAGTGTCTCCGATGCTGCCTTCTAGCATAACTGTTTTCATCGCTAGAGAACAGGGTCCTGCCACCAGAGATGTCTGGGCCCTAGAAAACCACTCACCTTGGCCACAGATGGTGTAGTGGTTAAGGTGCTGGACTCCCACATGGATGGCCCTAGTTCGAGTCCCGGGCCTGGTGGCTTGAAAATCATGCCAGGTTTGTGTGCAGGTGTGCCCAAAATCTCAAGAGGAGAATGCTCTATGGCGTGACCATTCCCCCTGGGGGTGGTTTCTCACGTTCCCTCCCACACTCACTGAGGAGCACACACATTCTATGACCTGAGGCCTCAGGGCCACAGCTGGGGTCCACGGAAACCAGACACAACTCTCTTCTGGCCTTTACATCCTGCTGGGGTCTGGCGGGGGGAGCAGAGACCTGGCCGCAGGGCCCCCCAGCCAGGAGCCCTGTGGGCTGTGCTCACCCCTGCCGTTGATCCTGATCTTCATGGGCAGCTGCCGCGCCATGCTGAAAAGGTTGCGCTGGAAGGCCTGCTGCACCAGACGCTGTTCCTCCTCGGACAGCCGCGACACCTTCTTCTCAGGGGGCTCCCCTGACTCCAGCCGCTCCCGCAGCTGCTCCAGCGTGGCGGGCCAGGGACCAGCCTGCGGGCCTGCCAGGGTCACGGGCACAGCCAGGCGATTTGGCACAGACACTGTGGTCACCGGGACGCCATCACCTGCAAAGGCCCTGGAGCTGGACCAACCCGAGCTGGAGCCTCCCACCCCAAGCCCCATCTTGGATGCGGGGAACTGGGCACCGGTCCCCCCTCCTTCCCAGGACCCTGCTGACCTTTCCTGAGAGTGGCTGCCGGGGACCCTCGAGGGCTGCTGGTATTGGTGCTGCTGCTGGAGCCGAGCCCCAGGATGGGAAAGCGGATCTTGGGCGGGGAGAGAAGGGCAGGGGCCCCGGCAGTGGAGAGAAGGGCGGGGGCTCCGGCAGTGGCGGCAGAAGCGGCAGCAGGTGAGTAGCCGAAGAGGGAGGCGCTGTAGCTGGGCCGCCGGCCCTCCCTGCGGTTGCCGTCGATGGCCGCCTGGAGCTCGGCCGGGGAGCTCAAGGCTTTCTTCTCACACTCGTAGGCGTAGAGGTACTTCATGTACCTGGAGGGAGGGAGGAAGCCAGGAGTCCATGACTCAGAGACCTCCGCTTCAGGCTGCAGCCTTGAGGCAGCCTCTGCCAGGCAGGCCTGGGGGCGGGGGGAAGTGCCGGGCTCCCGTGACTGCTCCTCAGTGCTGAGGGGGCTGGGTGCGTGGTCCCGAAGAAACATGCACGCCTGCTTGGTGTCTGCTCCTGCATGGCCTGCACATGCAGGCGGGGTCACCACGCGCAGAGATCCTTCCTCCGGGTGTGGCACCTAGGTGTGCCGTCCTTCTCTGTGTCCCACGTCCTGGGACGCAGCTCTGCCCGACTGTGCAGGAAGAGTTCGGACAGACCCTCCACTCCCCCCGACACGGTGCTCCCACACGGAGGCGGTGGCCACTCAGCCCGTGTTCTTCCCAGAGTGACACTGGAGTGTTCCGGGAGGACAGCACCCGCCTCCGGCCCTCATTCCCCAGGGCTACTCTTAGTCTCATTGCTCTGGCACCTCGGAGCAGACTCAGTACGAAAGCTGGGCGCCAGTGTGGCAGGGCTGCCAGGAGAGCTAAGTGACCAGCAGGCTCGCTTGGCGTGGAGGTGATGCCTGGCCAGCGTGGCTTTCCGAGACAGACGCCCTGCTCTGACTCAGCTCTGCCACTGTCACCTGGCCTTGTCTGCTTTCGTCATCTGGGCAATGGGGACGTGGCAGCTCAGCAGGGCTGGCCGTGAGGTCTCAGAGGAGTGGGATGGGCGGGGACTCCTCTCGGAAGCTGCCCCACCATGTCTGGAACCGCATGCCTCCCCTGACAGCACCAGGGCATGTCCCTCCTTCTGCTCCCTCCCCCAGCCCGGCCACTCACTGGGTCCTGAGGGTGAAGGCAGCGCTGGTGATGGACGTGGGCAGGTTGAGGCCTTTGGTGATCTCCCTCCAGATCTTCTTGTTGATGATCTCCACCAGGCCGCCTTTCTCTGTCACCAGCTTGTACAGCATGTACAGGTCCAGGGTCTGCTTGGCCATGATGGGGATCCGGTTGATGGGGGTGCCTGTGATCGGGAGAAGAGGGGGTCAAGTCCCCATGGGGCGGAGACAGTGAAGGTCCTGCCTCTGCTCCCTTCAGCTCGGTTAGAGCGAATGTTAGGAACCTGCTCACACACATGCCTGGGCTCAAAGCCCCGATCTGGCCACTCCCAGGTCAGCTGTCACTCCTCTCTGGGATGGGCAGGACAGGCCCAACTCACAGGCTGGGTGGCCTTGGGCAAAAACACACAGTCTCTCTGGTTCTGCTTTCCCATCTGTAAGTAAGAGGGCTGGAACTAGACAGCTTCAAAGGTTTCATATATTTTCTGTCTGTTTTTTTTTTTTTTTCTTGTAGGTTAGAGGACTTGCTGAAAAGAGACAGAGACCCAGAGAGAGAGAGAGAGAGGACAAAGTGCCCTGGCAGGCCTCTGGAGCTCTGACTCCATTCAGAGGCCACCTCTTCTGGGAAGTCTGTTACTGTCTCCCTACCAGCCGAGGCCCTCCCGCTCTCTGGCCCGGCCCCTGTAACTGTGTGTCGGTGTGCACCCTGCCGCCTCCTCTCCTGGCTGGATGGAGACATGCTTTTTTCCTCGCCTGTGTCCCGCATAGACGCACAGGTCTCAGAGGAATGAAAAGCAACTCCACGATTCTCTCCCCACTCCCAGGCCTCTGAGAGGGAGGGTCAGAGCAGCTTCCGCCCACTGCCCCAGGGGAAACAGAGCGGCCTGATTAGGAAACCTGGCACCGAGCAGGGGCAGGAAGGGCTGCTAATGAGTGCCTGGGAAGGCCTGGGCCTGGGCGGCTGGCCCCACAGGGCCTGGATGCTCGGCAGGAGGCTGATGGATGACTGTCATTTGGCAGCCACGGGATTAATGATCTGGAGGTCAGAGGGGAGGATTCCACAGGGAGGGGTCACCGTCCAGGGCAGGCTAAGAGACTTGTTGCCTTTTGATGGGAGCCCCTCTTACTGTACCCAGGCACTGCTCCCGTCTCCCCACCCCCGCGCTTCGGTCTGGCCCCGGGTGGGTGGCAGGCCCCCCGAGCACAGGGGCTGTTTGTCCTTGCTCCCCAGGCTTCCTTTCCCTAGAGGGAGGGTGCTATTTTTCTCAGCCCTGAATGCTGGGCTTGCCAGCTCCTTTGCAGGATAATCTAAACCCGTGACTGAAGGGCCCTGCGTGTGGTAGGACCAGGCTTCCTCCTAAGAGGGGTGAGATCTCACTCAAGACCTTTGTCTTTTTTAAAGAGATTTTTGCTATAGAGTGTGTGGGCTCACTAGAGACAGAGAGAAAGTGAGAAATCACTCCCTAGGGAGGATGGCTACGCTGCAAATCCACCTCTCTTCCATTCTCCTCTTGGGATTTTGGGCACACATACATGCACCCTGCATGAGTCTCAAGCTGCCGGGTCCAGGACTCAAACCATGGTCCACTGTGTGGCAGTCCAGTGATGTAAATGTTATTATGCCTCTGCCTTGCCCACCTGGTCGGTGGCATCATGGAGTTCTAACCCGATTCACAGGTGAACCTCAGAGGGTTCCTGTCTACCCCCGAGACCTCAGCTTCTGTGCTAGCTGCTGCCCGGGATAGCGCCCCTTCTTTCTAGAAGCCAGCTGCTCCAGAGCTGGCTGTCCCGCCTTCGGAGGCCTGTCTGAGCACACCCATGCCCTGGCTGACTCACACCTTCTGGGACACCGTTTGGAAACCATACCTAGGTCCCCTCATTCACATTTCCAGAAGCTTCCAGGACATGGTCACATGTGTGACCTGTTCACTTCCAATCCTGAATGCTTGTGCCGTGCTTACCCTCACCCTCTATACTGCTCAGAAGCCTGAATGGTTCTGAGGTCAGGCAGGAACCTCAGTCTACACTGGCCCCCTTCTCTGTAGTCCACCCACAGGGGCTGTGAGAGGCAGCACTGCCTCCTTCCAGGAACCTCTCAAAGCACCGTCCGGGATAGCTCCCTGGCGTAGTGGTAACGCACTGCTCGGACGAATGCCGGGGCCATCCTGCAGGCCATGGGTTTGGGAAGGCTGGGGGTCAGTTGGGGCCCTGTTGAGGTGGCTTCTTTCTCCATCGCTCAATCTCATGACAGAAATAAACTTAAAAAGACAGAATGTCTTCCTTTCTGCCCACAGCCATGAGCTGGTCCAGGCCCTCTGGCCCACTCCCTGGACTTGCACAGTGCTGCTGGCCCTGGCAGGGGCCCCTGCCCCACAGCTCTTGCTTCCTTGTTTAAAACCTGCAGAGGCTGGGGTAGAAGTGACTGGATCCCACGTGGCTGACTGCACAGCGCCAGTCCTAGACCCAGTGTCCTGAAAAACATGCCGGTGCCCCTGCACTTCTGCCTGGAATCCCCAAAAGAGGGAGAGACGGAGAATGCTGTGGCATGGCCGTCCCCCCATGCGGTGTGCCTTCTTACTTTCCCTCGCTCTCTGGAATGTGCATGTGCCCTCTGGCCAAAAAAAGGGAAAGAAACCCTACAAAGACTCATTGCCTGCCCACCCCATCCCATACGTCCAGTCCTGTGGTCCAGGCTGTGTGGGCAGCCCCACACTCCATAGCACAGCAGTGATGTGCTGCTCAAGAGAAGCCGGGCCCCGTATGGTGACCACAGGCCAGCCCCTGCCCTGCTGGCTGACAGCCCAGGCACACACGAGTGCCCAGGACCCAGCAGATGAGAAGACAGGGGTCGTGGCGTGGCTCGGCCCTCTGGAGGGTACTCGTCTCTCTCTCACGCACGTGTACAAACTCTGTCATGAATAAAAAAAATATTGTGGAAAAAAAGGAGAGGGCCGACTGGTGGTTCGGTGGTTAAGGCAGCTGGAACCCACACGGCCGAATACATGGTTTGAATCCTGGACCTAGCGGCTTAAAAAACAAGCTTGGCACATGTGTGTGCGTGTGTGCCCAAAACCCTGAGAGGAGAGAGGAGGAGAAAGGCTGCAGAGTAGCCTTCCCCCCTGGGGAGCTCCCCCACCCCCCTCAGCCACTAGCACTCACTCTTCATCAGTCCACCTCTGTGAGGGCATCCCCATCCCACCCCGCGTCGTCACGTATGACAAAGGTGCTATCCTCTTCCTGTGCCTGGCTTATTTCCCGTAACATGTCCTTTGGGCTCACCCATATGACCGCAAATGACAGCAGTTTGTCCCTTTTAATGGCTGAATGGTATTCCACTGCGTACAAATATAGCATGTTCCCTTCCCTGCTCAGCTGCGGGTGAACTTAGGCTGACTCCTAGCTCCTATGAATGGCGCTATAACTAACCCTGGGGTGCAGGCATCTTGGCGACACACTCATTTCTTTTTCTATCGGGGTACCTCGTAGTGGGACTGTAGGATCACCTCTACAGGATAGGAGACGGGTGTGGGACGTGCTGGGACCCCACTGGTAGCCCCTGGTCTTTGGCCCGGCCATACCCTGGGCAGACTGGGGATCCCACTCTCCCTCATCCTGGAGTGGAGTCTCCTCACACAGAGCCCCCAGGCCTGGCCAGGCACTGGCTCCAGAGACCCCATTGCTAGAGGGAGTGAGCAGGCACTTCCTCCCACGGTTGGTCCTCTGTTACAAAGGTGACTCCCAGGACAATCCGGCCCCTTGTACAGTCGGAGCAGAGCCAAGGCTACTCTGGGGCCCACTCTGCTCAGGGGGTGGGCTTCTCACTGTACCCAGACACCTGCCCTGGTGTCTGCTCTCTAGACAGCCACGGAGGCAGCACCCTCGGGCCTGCCTGTCTAGGCAGCCTGCTCTGTGCTTAATGGAGCTCACAGCCATGTCCCCGTCCACAGACTCAGTACGAAGAAAGGGGGAGAAGGCTTTTCAGCTGCGAGTACCTGCCTGAACGGGGGGGCCAGTACATAATACGAGGTGGGCAGGGAGCATTGCCAGTTTCAGGCCTCAGCTTCCCAATCTGTTAAACGAGGACTTTGGGCCAGGTGACATCCCATTCATGTCTCACGAGTACATGAATAAAAAATTACAAATCAACACAGAGTGCTGTGATTATCACCAAAGGGGGAGTGGCTTGGTTTGAGACACGCCTGAGTGATGGAATACTGAGGCCAGAGTGACCTTGAAAGAACGCTTGGTATCTCCTGTGAAGTGCCCCTGGGTGGCTGAAGACCAGGTCCATGAAGTTCAAGTCTGTAAGCAATGGCCTCCCCCGGAAGAGGGCAGAGGGCCTGCTCTCTGTGCTGTACTCCCGGCTCTTCACCAAAGCCTCTGTCCACCACAAATGGAAGGCCACCTGCAGGGCAGCAGGGCAGCAAGACCTGGGATGAGGCCCCGCCCCGCCACACCTCCTGTGGGGCAGGAGCACCTGGTGGGGAGCCTGCAGGCTGTCAGTCACTGCTATCGAGGCAGCAGCTAGGATTGAGGGTAATTAATCATGCTCTCTGACAGAATCCAGGGCCTTATCTGCACCCCAAGAAATGCCACTGGTCTCCAGTTCCCTCCTCAATAAAGGAGACTGACAGTTGCAACAAAGAGGCCCCTTATCAGATTTCAGCCAGGGAGCCCAGGCAGCCCAGGGGCGGATGTGGAAGGCTTTCATGAGGGCCATGGACCCAGCGAAGCCTCTGGGATCCAGGGCTTTAGTCCTCGTGGGTGGGCATGCGGCTGGGCCCTGGCACTAGCAGGCTGATGGGCAGCCCCAGTGCAGACGTGGCCAATGAAGGCTCTCCTTCCTGCCTCTCAGACAGCAGAGATGTGGCAGGGTAGGGCGAGTGCGGAGGCTGGCCCCAGAGATAGGACGGGAGATAGCGAGAGCACTGGGGGTGGGGGCCCTTCCTCTCCATCGCAGAGAAGCAAGACTAGAACAGCCAGGGGCAGGGACCCCAGACAGACCCACACGGCCGCCTTCCTGCCTACTGGTCAGGGGTGAGGGCCCAGGGCCCAGGGTGTGGCCCTTGCTGCTTTCCTGGCTTTGAAAAAGCTCATTAATCACTTCCACAGCCCAACTGTCAGGAGGGCCGACTGGAGAGACTAGATGCACACAGGCAGGCGGGTCTCTGACCACGGCTCTGCA